GGAGATGCACCAGGACAGAGGAAAAAAACAAAAGCAGAACTCAGCTTTTAAACTAAAGAAATGCAAGCGTGTGGCTTGCCGGGGGGCTGTGAAGACAGGTGTGTTTTGGTGGCCACTCAAGTTGACAAAGGCTGTTTAACTGCATCTGAGATCTCATTGTAAAGCAGGGTCCCATCTCACTGCTCTGGGAAGATTTGGCAGCAAGTGAAGGGTCTGGGAGAGGCACCTGTATGTACCCAGGCCTGCAGCAGGAGGTATTTAGAGCTTGTTCTCTTTGTCCTGCCAACAGTTCAAGAGACTGAAAGTATCACATCAGCCAACTTGACAACTTTCCTGGAGGAGTGAGGCAATGAGGAGGAAGCGATTTGACACAATAAAGGGAACAGCAGAATACATGCCCATGTTAACAACAGAAAATATAGCAGCACTGGTGTTAAAAACAGTCACTAAAAATGAGCAATACACCTTTGTACTTGGCAATACATGCAAACACTCGGTAAAAATAATGCAAATAAACATATTAAATAATACAGCATGGCACCAGGCAGATTTGTGAATAGGATTAAATAATGCTGTTTCCTTTTGCATCTTAGAAATGGATTTGAAGGTTCAGAAACTGCTCCACAACTCCAGGTAACCATTAATCAAAATCATTAAAGTAAGATAAAAATCAAATGAAAAGCTAGCTGTAGTCAACCATAAGCAGATATTTCTCACCTTCAAACTCAGCTAAAAGCACATATGAATAAATCAGAAGACCAAAGCATAGCCAACTCACTGGTCAAATGCTCTCGTTCATGAGATAAAAGAATTTGAGAAAAAAAAAGGAAAAACTCCTAAGACCCTTATAAAAATGAAACAAGAAACATTAAAAATCAAATACCTGAGTAAATAAGCAAGTTTAGCACATCAAAACCAGAGTCTATCAAACCATCACCAGCTAACAAAAATAATGTTTGTTTGAACAATTCATAAACATGGACTCATTTTTTTATTTGTCATGAGAATAGGCTTTGGGAACATAGATACTTGAAGGTCCAGAAAGAGTTAGGAAATGTAGAATAGAACTACATTGAAAGTTAGTAAGACTGGGGCAGGTGGTCCCCAGATATTCTTTAAAATATTTTACCCTAACTCTCTTGATGTTTGTTAAAATACAAATCAGTAATCAGGTCCTTGAAGTGAGAGCAGTTCTAACGACTCAAAAGGAACAATATTCCTGTTTGACAAGTATCGGCAATATTTTAGTGAGAGATTAATATTACCCTTTCTGCCAAAAAAAGCAAGGCTGCTAATGTTATTTTTAGTGTGTAGCAGCCTCTCTGGAACAGTATTAGATTGTTCAGAAGTAGAAGAGTGTAGAGGAAGAGGAAAATAAAATCCAGCTCTTCAAAGGACAGGAAAGAGGAGACGTCACCTGGCACTGAAAAAACCCAAATGTTTTTGTAGAACTGTCTACCACTGTGAGGAATACGTACCACAGTGATTGAAAGAGACTGAACCATTGTGAACAAATTGTCTCACTCACTGACTTCTCTTGAAGGTGGAAACATGGCGCCCTACATAGTCTCTTTTTCCTCAGACAACGGTATGCACATACACAAATTTGATTCCCAGGATGACTCAGACAGCAGGAAGACCTTTCTATGCAAGACCAGTTTCCCCAATATTCAACATCAGATCTTGGATCTTGCAAGCACATCATTTTAGACATCTGATCATCAGCTCAAGTTGAGTAAGTGGGGATTAGCCTACTGTGTTTAGATGTTTCCATTTAAGCTTAGTGTTATGTTCTTCACTTTGTCTCAGAGCACAGAGGAGGTAAGATTTGTTCACACTTTTTTTGGTAAAAACAAAGATCCTTTTAACTTCATATCCAACAATGGCCAGAAACAGATGCATGAAGAACAAGAACAGGAAGCTAGAAAGGATACTTCCCACTAGTCATCCACCAGGCACTGGACATCAGAACAAGGACTTTGCATCACATATGGCTCCTTTGTATTTACCATTTATGAGTTTATTCAGCAGCTCCTTGTTCATAATTTTGGCCTTCTGCCACCTTTGCTTGATTTGCTGCTTTCTTGAGATGAACCATTCTTGAGCTTGAAGGAGCTAACCTCTTGAAAGCAAGGAGCTCTCCTAGACTCTGCCTCTGTCCAGGACCAAAACCCATGGGATTCTCCCAAGCAGATCCCTGAAGAGCCCAAATTGTGCTCTCTTGAAATCCTTATTTTTGCATTGCTCTCTGTATCCTGAACTCAAACACTGTATGATCACCGCAGCCAAGGCTGGCCCTGACCTCCACATTCACCATGAATTCATCCTCGTTTGCAAGTAGGAGGTCCAGCTTGTCAGTCACTTGTGTCAGGAAGTTTTCCCCAGTACACTCCAGAAAACTGCTTGATTGCTTGTGCCCTACTGTGCTGTGCCGCCAACAGACATTTGACATGGTTCAAGTCCCCCGTGAGTACCAGGGCCAGTGAACGTGACGCTTCTTCCAATTGTCTGAAGACGACCTTGTCTACTTCTTCTTCCTGATCAGGTGATCTGTAGTGGTCACCCACCACAGTGTCACCCATGCTGATCTGCCCTCTAATGCTGACCGATACGCTATCAGCTGACTCAACGTACATCCCAAAGCGTGCATTCCAGCTGCTCCTTCACAGAAAGGGCAATCTCCCCTCCTTGTCTTCCCAGCCTGCCATTCCTAATCAGCCTGGCTTCATCCACTGCAGTACTTCTGTAAGTTACCCCACTGCACCTCCATGATCCCATAGCTCTGCAACCAGGCTGCAGAGTTAAAAATGGGCCATGTTGGAGAGGAACCCAGGGAATGTGCACAAACTGGCACTTCACCATGCATTTCAGCTCTTGGGTCCTGTGAGCTATCTCACCACATCTCTATGTTGTCAATGAGATCAGGGCCCTGCAACTACTAGCAGAGCTCTAATTTCTCTTGTTTATTCCCCATACTGCGCATGTTTGTGCACAGGCACTTTAAAGAGGCACCCAACCATGCTAATTTCCCAGAAACTGTATGTTGGCTTTCTTTTACCCCATAGATGCTTTCCTAATTTATGTACACACACTTGAAGTGCACTCCTCTCAGCCTTTTTTTTTTCCTTTTATTATGAAGTCTGACCTGTTCATGTCACTCCGCGTATGTTTTGCACCAACCTTTCCCACCCCTTTCTCACTTGATTATTGATCATGCACTTCCTCTACTGTTGTTCCTAGTGTAAAGTTCTTCTTATCAGGTTGGCCAGCCTGTTGGCAAAGTTATTTTTGTCTCATTTAGCCAGGTGGATCCCATCTCTTCCAAACAGTCCACAATCCTCAAAAAGGGTCTCATGGTCGTAGAAATCGAGTCCCTTTTGCCAGTGCCAGCTGTGCAACCAACTGTTGACCAGCAGGGTCCATCCTTCTCCTCCCTCCCTCACCAGCAGGATCAAAGAGGAACCCCCCTGGTCCCACATGCTCTTGATCATCACCCCCAGATCCTGCTTGCTGCTTTCCAGGACTTCCCTGACGTTACTATTAATACCCACATCGAAGAGCAGCAGGGGGTAATAGTCTGTAGGTGTAATAAATTTTGCAAGTCTTTTAAAACTATATCCCCAGTCCAAGTCCATGGCAAGGAGTAAACCTCCCTAGATGACAGGTCCAGCTGTTGGAGAGGGCTTCTGTTCCTTGCAGCAGGGAGCCCTCATTATTAACACTCACTACTTTTTCTGGTGCTCCTATGTGGCTCGTGGTCAATGGGCTCAGACACCTCATTTAACAGAGCTCATTAGCTATGGCAGCACTAAATCTATTCTGCAGTTACAAATCTTCAGGTGAAGCAAGAGCCTTCCTCTTACTGTCAGAAGTCACAAGCTTGTGGCCTTTGTCATCATGGGAACATCCATTTCCCATGTTTATAGGCACAGACTCAAGCTGCCTCTCCTTTGGTAGAAAAGGGAGGACTGGGCTCTTGAAGCTGCAGAGTCGCAGAGACTGAGTCCATATCCTGCCATCAAGGTCCAGATAGTGCTAATGATGCAGAAATTGGTCATCATGAAGGATTTGATCAATCTGCAACAACTCCTTTACTCTTTAATAGCCAATTCCATGGGTACAGTGCATCCACCTAACACAGAGTGATCAGTTTGCCTACTTTCTCATCTTGCTTAAAACAGCATAAAGACTTTCTAAGGCACCAAATGACACCCAGACACCAACTCTAGGAGCGCAGGTGAGGCACATTCCTCATGCTTCTGAACACTGAAACCAAATTCAAGGTGAAAAAGTAAACCGCTTCCTACAGCCCAGAAGACTTTTTGTAAATGCTTTGAGACAGTACTAAAAAGTGCTTATATTTTTTTTCTGCTTTCTATCCAGCTTAATTCTGTGAGGCTTCTCAGAGGTGTCATGTAGTCCCCAATTTTCACTTACAATTCAACCTTTTTGGTATTATTTTAGACCCTTATTCGAAAGCCATATCATGTTTCTTCATGTAGTATGTTGGGTCAGAAACCATTCCAGACATCATGTGACTGCCTGTGTAATGAAAAGTTCTGCATAGTGCAAAAGAAGGAAGAGAGTTTTTGTAATGAAGTATATCACTGTGTTTGGGGGCTGGAGTAGCACAATGATATAAAAAACATAGAGACCTGTACAAAAACCCAAAGAAGGAAAGAAGGCAATAGATTTTGGGGAAGAAAGGAGGTGGGTGACTAAAATGATAAAGGAGACAAATACAACATTCTTTTTGTATTTTTATGTATCCTGGAAATACAGAGCTCACAGGACTTCTAAAAGATGGAAGAAAGGGAAAATGTGGAAATTCTGTACTCAGTGAAGCTATTTGAAATCATTGAACTATTCAAATATTGGTTTTGCCTTTCCAGTTTTGGAAGAAATTGTGGCTCTGGATACCCTCATGGGGTTGTACACATGGATAATTAGGACAAATATCTGTCTTTTCTTCTCCTGTTTTTACGACACTTTTGAATACCATGAGGAAAGAGTTATTTATTGCCATAAGTATTAGCAGTGTGAGAACCGATCAGCTTATATTTGGAAGTGGAACCACTCTCACAGTTGAACCGAGTAAGTACCATTATTTTCTTTCTAAAAATTGTGTTAAAATTAAGGAGGAGAAGGACAAAGGAATCTTATGGTTTGGGTTCACTGTAAGACTTTTCTGCTGCAATAATCTCTGGAGTGCACTCTCTTTGCCCAGGGTTTCAAGCTGAATCCTCAGTTTGTGTCTGCTTAGGAAAGCTTCACAGGAACAACTCGGCTGCTTCTATATTATCACCATTATTCTGTGATTCCCAAACACCTGGTGTGCACCACTTAAGTTTAGCATGTTATAATTTCTTCCCAGTCTGAACAGCACTCTGGCACAAATTTGCTGTGAAGTGTCCTATCTTCCAGTGGATTTTCACTGCCTCATTTTGAGCAGGAATATACAGCTGAGTGAAGAGCTGACAGTAGGGAGATGTTTTGAGGCAGATCTTTAGCTCTCTGGTATGAGAAGTTAGTTTTTGACACTGGCACCACACTTGTGGTGTCACCAGGCAAGTAATTTCACTGGCATGGGGACAGAGGAGGAAGGACGTTAAGTATCCTTGGGCTTAAATTTTCACAACCAGACCACTTAGAATGAATGAAAATTTGCTACCAAGTTGCCTAGGCTTTGAAAATGCAGGTGTGGTGAGTAGGGATTATAACAAACCTTAGTTCTTCCTATGTTTACGTGGAATTTCATGATGTACAAAAAGGGTGGATGTCACCACAAGCTTTTCTGTGGAAGTGTGAATGTTGGGGCAGCGGGGGAGTTTGTTAGGTTGATCTTTGTTATCCTATACATCCAGGTGCATACCTTAAGACTTGTTGTGATGCTTTCAGAGGTCTGAATGTCTTTAACGTGCTGCTTGTCTTTAAAGTGCTGCAAAAATGTCCCATGTAATTTTACCTTACCTAAAACATCCTGCTTTCATTCCAGAAGGGTATGGGGCTCCCTTAGGTGCTGCCCTATATCTGTCCAGGTCTGTAGGACATCTTGCATGAGAATAAACGTCTGTTTTGGAAAAATTTAAGTCCACTTTCAATTCCAAGGGGTCAAAGGAATACAAAGTTATAGTTCTGAAGTGAAAGTTATAATTCCAATTAGTGAATCTTCAGTTGTAAATGTAGGACCAGAAGAAACTGCCAGATCCCATTATTGTTACATTAGTCTACATTGGTTTAAAGATTGTATCTGTTAAAAAAAAAGAGGTAAAATATCTCATAGAGAATAGTAGAATTTGCCAAGAAAAAAACCAACAAAACACAGCCTAAGAGCTGGTAGGTGAAAGATCAAGCAATATTATTGCCATTTCAGACATTTACAGAAATGCTAATTCTTGTTTCTCATATAAAGGGTCTTATATGTCTTTTTTATAAAGTTTAGCATGTTGGTTCTTCTGTTGACAAGAAAAGGTTTCTTTCTCATCACTTGAAGGTAGCATGTGGCTCATTGACTGCAACAAGGCATTCTTACTTTAAGAAAACTTTTACACTACGTTACTCAAATTTATAAAACATCTTCACTGATTTTCCTGCAACTTGGGTTAGAGAACAATTTGTTTCACATAAGAAGGCTATGAGCCTTGTCTTCTCCTCTACCCCGAAATGCTTTAAATCATTATTTCTCTTTTTCCTGCCTACCTATCCTCTCTGACATCCTGATGCAAAATTGCATGAAACTTCAGTTGAGTGAAATTTCCATGCTGTTCAATGATTTCTCTTTTTCTAGCTAAGGATAGGATGACATTTTCAGACCTCTACAAAGACTTTAGGATTACATTTGACCGTAAAAGATTATAGGTGTTAAGCATTTAAGTCATGCAATGTCTGTTGAAATACTTCATAAATTGAAGCCAAAATGTCCAGAATTTGAGCAACCTGACTCTTTTGTTGTTAAATTTGAATTTCTTTGGGAAGAGAAGGCTCTGAGAAGACCTCATAGCAGCGTTCCAGGACCTAAAGGGGGCCTACAGGAGGGTTGGGGAGGGATTCTTTATCAGGGAGTATAGTGATAGGACAAGGTGGAATGATTTTAAGCTGAAAGTGGGTAGATTTAGACTAGATATTAGGAAGAAGTTTTTACTATAAGGGTGGTGAGGCAGTGGCCCAGGTTGCCCAGAGAAGCTGTGGATGCCCCATCCCTGGAGGGGTTCAAGGCCAGGCTGGATGAGGCTTTGAGAAATCTGGTCTACTAGGAGGTGTCCCTGCCATGGGCAGGCACATTTGTTGAATGATCTTTAAGGACCCTTCCAACCCGAACCATTCTATGATTCTATGATATTAATATGCATTTAAAAATGCTAAGAAAATACATAGTTTTTCACCTGAGTCTTTTGACAATCCCTAAAACCAAAATGTCATAGAAAAAACATGCATTAGCAATCACTATAGGATATTCAAGGCATATTCTCTTGAGGGCTCAGTTAAGGACAGATAAGGCTTTTGTTTTGGTTTGGTGGGGTTTTTTTTTCTTTATTCTAGATAAAACTTTAATTAAGAATACTAAGGCCCATAACATTATAGAATATATAGCTCTTCCCATGACTTTGTAAGATTAAACATAAAAAGAAGTAGAACTTTTTGTGCTAACAAAATGCCACTACCAGAATGTAATACACAAATCCCTCCCAAAAGCAAGCAGTGGTAGGAATTCGTGGCTTTATTTTCAGGCAATGCAAAATGGTGGGACTCAGTTTAGGCTTCTGGAGTCCAATAAAGAAATAATTCTGCTTTATTAGCTACAATTGCACTGTGTACATTTGTTCTTGCTGAAGATCTTGCCTAGTGAGTTATGCCAGAGAAGCAGTTTGCTGGTATACTGGCTGTTTGGAAACACTGGAGATCAGAAAACATGAAAAACCTTTAAAGATCTTCTCAGATAACAAAGAAACCACCACGTTACAGCACCTGGAAAGGAAATGTATGTAGGAGGAATAGCAAAATGAGCCTTTTTTGATTTACGCGTTTTAACCGTGAGTTGCTGCTGCTCTTGTCTTTGGGACGGGGACTCAGCTGACCGTGGAGCCAGGTAGGTATTCTTTATGTATTAACCTTTTCTGAGTTGTTACTGTTTGGATTTTCACTTTTTTCCCTTTTCTTCTTGCAAAAATTCAGGCAGCCACTCCCCCATGCCTAAAAGGCACTAACTAGACTTCAGGCTTTCTATGGATAACGTTTTCATATGCAATTAGACAATTTAAGTATAAGAAACATGCTGATCCCACTTTTTAGGAATTGTCAGAGAATTTGGGCTCCACAAGAGCAAGGCCTGTCTGCTATCATGCTGAATTTCTTGGGGACCTAACATCTATCCACTTACTCAGGCGTCTTAATAAGCTTTTCATAGTACTTGTTAGGTTGTTAGGTCATGCTTGGACAGTCTAAAGGGAAGTTTCTGTGGAGACTGACATTTAAGTTCCTAAAACTTTCCATTCTGTCAGAGTTAGATAGAACAGCCCTGAGAGGAGAGAAGGATAATGTACAAAAGCATTAAAATGAATCTTAGGCAACATTTCTTTACAAGTTTAATCTTACTAAATTGTTCAGAGTTTGGGTTAAACGGAAAAGGTCAAATGCAGTCAATGAATGTTTGATTCCTGTTTGGTATCTCGTTGCTGTAGGTGTTGACAAGCTTGGAGTTGTGCCTGTTTTATTAGTAGAGCCAACCCATGTTGGCTCTACTAATGTCTACTATGTCAGGGTACTACTTGGCTTTTACCTCAATTACTCAGTAAGAGGGTATGGGTGGTGGGGAAAGACAGTCAAATCAGAGCCCCTTGATCAAACCTTGAAAAAATACCCTGTGATGAAAAAAATGTTAGACCTGAGGGATCTCTTGACCAGGCTGCAAGGCCGATACCATGTAAATTCAAAGCCTAATGCACCTCTCTAGCAGAGAGACCCATCAGAACACTGCTGTCAAATTGGACATGTACATCTTTTTTTGGTATGTCTCATAGCCTTTCATAAACTGAGCCCTTTTTGGCAAGAAAGCACGCTGGACGATTCTGTTCAGTTTCATGTTTTATTATAACTCATGTTACTAATCTTGTCTTGACATTGGTATGTGGAATCACCCTAGTTTCTCCACCTATGACCTGAGGGCAAAGATTTTTTTTTTTTAAATGATATCATAATGATTTGTTGGCTAGCAAATTGAGACCAACTGTTTCCTTAAAAGACATCCTCTTCAAGGTTAAGCAATCTTATTCCATTACTTGTATGTCTTATAAGAAATTACTAGAGAAGGCTGCTGCTGTGTAGCTGAAATTAGGCTTTTGCATTTGTCAAGCCTTTGTCATTCATGTATGTTGCTTCAAGTTGTGAATTCAACTCTAAAATTCTTTCAAAACTGAAAAAATACATCTAAAAGTTTCAGAATAACTCTTCTGAAAGATGTATGAGAGAGCAAGGGTCCCAAGTCCTGTGAAAACTTGTGAGCATCTTTTAGGTTCTTTCAAAACTCCAATTCTAGGGCACATTTTCATGCCTTGTTGGTATCTGAACGCTAAAGGACTACCACTGAAGGTTATTACATTAATCTAAGGAAGATTGTAAGAAGGCTTGTCCATGGACATCAAGTTCATAGGCCTCAGGGTATTCTTCCCTTCAAATCAGTTTATTATGCAAATTCTGTACTATGCTTCTAACTGCCTCTGGAGCTTTGGGATTAACAACATGGCACAGCACATGGATGAGAAAGGTCACATTTTTTGGAACAGCCACAAGAATTTTTGTTGAACCAAGTACCAATCCTGTTCTCTTCTCATTGTCTCCAGACTGGGTTGGAATGTCTTATACTACATGCAATGTCTAGTGGGGAGAATGTTCTCCACAACTGAAAGTTCTTGACGTTATCAGAAACTCCTGGAGAAGTGGAGATATGCAATTCACAGACTTCTGGTTGCTTCTCTCCTACTTTCCCATCTTAGAGACAAAAATCCTTCTTACATCTGAGCATTTGTTATTGAAGAGATCAACCTTGTCCCCCACTCCATCAGCAGTGCTTAATTTCTGTAAGTGATGTCATTCACTGGAGTAACCTTGCACAACAGTGAAGCAACAAACTTCTTGTTGCCCTACTGCTCTTGCTGTGGTTAGACCTTTTAGCCACGTCAGAAGAAGATTCGGGGGAGGGGAGGGATAGTAAAGGAAATCCAGTTATTCCTTCATGTCTCATGAATATGCAAGACAGTCCTTGATAGAAGTGTTATTTTTAGGAATTAGACTGTTGAGAAAGCAGAATAATTAGACTTTTGGAGCAACATGCATAAAAGTTCTCTTTTCATTTGCAGGTCCCTTACTTATTATAATCATTATTATTATATCATTCACATATAGGCATGAGTTTTGGCAAAAGGAAGCTTAGAATCCTGTGGAATTAAAGCTCCTATAAAAAGCCTAGTCTCCTACACCCTTTCTGTCTTTGATCTAATATTTTGGAAGAAATAATGACAAAAAAGACAGTCAGTGACAACGTTAGGAATTAGTCACAGCTGGACTATATGTGAACTTTAGGTGACTTAGCACTCAGGCAAGGTTGCAATAAAATAAAATCATGCCCAATGTGTGGTTTGGTTTTGTTTTTTTTTTTTTTACAGACAATCAAACAAGTTCTATCCCAGAAGTCATTGTGATGAAATCAAAGAAACTGCAGCAAGATGGCAGCATTGGGAAAGCAGCTTGTTTAGCAAGGAATTCCAATACAAAGAACATCAGCTTGGAGATGTCCCCTAATGATGTTGTATATGAACAGAGTACATCCATTTTGACATCAGAGGGGTTGTACAATAATATTAAGGTAGTCAATGTGACAAAAGGAACAGAGGTGAACTGCATGGCCAAATTCAACGGCAGAACTGCTACAGCCAACACAACATTGCCAGGTACAATTTTGTGGTACAGCTGCAACTTATTTCTGGAGGCAGTGTCTTCTAGTGCTTGCTATTTCTCCTGCTAGTATGCATTGCCTGGGGTAACCAGCAGAAATGGGAAAAACATCTAGTACTTAAGCAGGTAAAGCTGAAAGATATTTACAAGCATCTAAAATAAATGGTCTTAACTGTTTAACAACTCAGAGTTGCTTTTTTGAGGGAAAAAAAAGACACAATCTTTTTTAAAATGTACATTTATTCCCCTATAACTAAATACTTCACCACAACAAAAAGTTAAAGCAATGGTGTGGGGTTTTTTTTTCCCCTAAACCACTTTTTATATTTTGGGGGACTGTTTTTGTCATCATGAAGCTCATTCAAATAGTAAAACTGAAACAACTCGGGAAATCTTTTGTTTCCTGCAATTGCATGGAGAAATTTTCTGCTGAAATTAATGGTGGAATTAGTGACTGGTCATCTGAACCTCAGACTGTATTGCCCATATGTTCCTATGGGAAGGGTCATATGAACATTTTGGATGTAATTTACAATGCCTTTTCTTTATCAAGCTACAGAAAAGGAGGCTGAAGAACCAGTAACAGGGAAGGTTTGCAACACCACAGACACCTCTGCACAAGGTTAGTTACCTAAATAGGTTGTGAAGTTACATTACTATGCTGGGGATAAATGCATGGAAATGTATATTGTTGGGATAGAGGAATCAGAATACAACATGTTCATCAAACACAACCTTTTTCATGGTAGCTGATTCGGTAACAGACAAGCAACAGGAAGCAAAGTCCAATCTAGGCAGACATGCTCCTCCCCTTTGTTGCCATGTTTCTTGATCATCTTTTCCTTTGCTGCTCTTTCTTTCCCTGAAACTATTACCTGTGGTTTTTTCCACTTTCTGCCGATATGACAATATCCAAATCTAGACCATGATCTTTCCCATTTTTTCTTTATCACTAAGCAGAGACCAAAGTTGAGAAAGCGAACATGCTGTCTGTGGCTGTGTTGGGTTTGAGAGTCCTGCTGGCAAAAAGTATTGCCTTCAATACACTCATGAGTATCAAGTTGTTTCTTTTCTGAGGTAAGGAAGCACTTATCTTGATCTGTAGAAATGCTGCAAGTGCATGCCAGGAATGACCACTTGTCTTTGTTTACTTCTCTAACCCCACAAGCAATGATACCTGTTCATCTGCTCCTGTTTCCTTTAAATAATTCTTGTAGGTTTCTGGGGAAAAAAATTACAACCTCCCCCAAACAACTCAGAAAAACAACTAAAAATCCCCCACCCTCCCTCCCAAACTGTACAAAGAAAACAGCCTCTTTCTGTATCCAAAGCTCAGTTCTTGGGTGCTGGTCCCCAAATTTTCTTTGCACCAAACCTGCTTTGCAAGAGCAACTCCCATATTGCCAGAAGTGTCTGGGAGATATCTCATTGACTATTTCAAGTGGAAGAGCACAAATCCTGGAGAAAAATCAAGACAAATAAGGAGTCAAAAGCAAGGCTTCCAAAGCACGAACGTGTGAAGTAGTGGGTAAATTAAGATATCCAAAGAGGCACAAAAGATAGTCTAACCGAAGTGTTGGCTGTCTTGATCTGACAGCTATCAAACAGTGGCACATAAACCCAATTGCATTAAATGTAGTTTAAAATACACTTTGCTTTTCCAGACAGAGGGGAAGGAAGGCAACAGCAATCTGAAGAATTGCAGGACGGAGCATGGACCAGCAGCACAACGGGCTGAACAGCCGATGTCAAACCTGCTGACAATAACCATCCAGAAGACAATGCAGAACCTTCTCCTTAAGACATTTTATACTGTTGAATCCTGCCTAGCTAGTTTATTTAGTCTTAAGAATTGTAAATGCTTTTGCTATTTCTTTTTCTCTGTGAGCTGAGGAAAGGGTATTTTTCCTCATCCCTGTGCTAATTAGAAGTTGATTTCCCCACTCTTGTAGCCTTTGCATAGAAACATCCAACCTGCTTCAATAGTTTTGAAAAATCTAATCCTCACTATAGAACCATTCTATGATTCTATGATTCTATATATAACCCTTTAAAAACACCTTTAACAGGCATGTTGTGTTACTGTTCATAGAACTGATGTATTACTGCTAAGATATTTCAGGCACAGTAGATGCTATTTCTGGCTTCCTTGTTTTTTAGATAGCTTTAATAACAATAATTTTCTAGTGTAGATGAGAAGACCTGTGTTGGATCTGAAGTGATTCAATTAAACCAGATAATGTTCAACCATAGAAGCATTTCTTTATTAAACCTGTATTTCTGCAAAGTGTATGGCACATGCATTTTAGGGTACTGTAGTAGTGACCAAAATAAAGTTTTAACTAAGCCAAAATTCTGTGGTTTGTTCTGTGCTTTTTCTTCTGAATTTGGGATGGAGATTGCTGAAATCCAACTGTCCTAATGACCAGCTTTGATAACCTAACTATCCTGGTGTCTGAATTTGTATTTTCTAGACTTTGTACAGAGAAGTAGAGATTCCTTTTGACATATTAAAAAGCTTCAGTAGGGCCATGAATTCTAGACTTAGGGGATTCAGATTCAAATCAGGTCTGCTCTTTCAGATCGCTTTGATGAGACCCCAGCAAGATATTTTGCACCGTAGCAAAAAGAAACACATGCCTAAGGAGAAAGCAGTTAAGAGACAGCTTGATATGAGCATGAGGAGGGAAAATACACATATCAGAAGAGTACTTGCTGTTTTTTTCCACTCACTGATACCAGGAAGAGGCCAACAGAAAATAATGTATGGTAGTTTGATGGAATGATAGTTTCTATAGCAACCTGGTTATTAGTCAAAAAGATCCAAACACACACTTTCTCCAAGTCATCTTTCTCTCACAAACAACGGGCAGGATGTTGTGGTGAACATTTATGACTAAGTTGCACCATGCAGGATTAACTCCCCCTTGTTTTGAAAAACAAGTTAACCACATCCTGAAGAGGAAATCAGGTTTTTCACATACTGACTGAGTTACTACTGGCTTCAAGACAGCCTCTACAGAGTGCACAGTAAGGTCTGTTTAATTAAACTTTGTCAGGTTAGTCCCCCAGACTCTGCAGACACCTGGAGGAAGACCCTCACCCTATGCAGAAGATAAGTGAAATTTGCATGGAAAATCCCAAACCAGTAAAATGCTTATTTGGTGCATTCTAGCACCATAATGTATATCAGTGGGAGTCGTTCAGTAGTATTTTTATCCTGATATTCTGGTGACACCCTGAACCTTTTTGTCTTGCACTCCACACCTTTTCCCAATTTCTCAGGCAAGACTCAGTCTGGGAGTACCATTTCTGTGTCTCTGTGCAAATCAAGGAATTACATTTTCCTAAGTAGCCCTTGCTTGTGCCTGAGAGCTTTGGCGAAATTAAAATTCTGCAACACTGCATAAGCAAAAAGAGGGGTCTACAAATGTGTGACTACTGAGGGATAGTATTGACTCATACAGAAATGTATCAGCCAAGTAAAGACATCAGTCTCTGTTGTTTCAAACACCCATCCACATTGGTGTAGGACACCAGAGCCCTCATTTCCATCACAAAGAGATTAACGACCTGAGTGATAGCTCCATGGTCAGGTTTTTCAGATCTCCCTGTGCACCACTGGGAAACCAGTCAGTGTGGGAAAATCTATGCCCTCACTAACCCCTTAAAATGTCAGTTGCCCAAGTCTTGGTTATCTAGCTCTTAGACAAAAAAAAAGAGAAACTGATGTCTTTGAGAAGATGCTTAAAAGTCTTCAGCTCTTTGGAGAGAAGGAGGCGATACCCATCCATCAGTCTCTTACCACAGTCTGTCACTCATCCACAGTGAGCAGAATTAGTCCCATTGGAGTGGGCTAGTCTGGTGGCCAGGCCTGTGGCTTCCCTAAGACTTTATTTCAGGTTAGATCATGTGAAATACCAGGGCTGTGTCACAGCTGGACAAAATAATGTTTCTGAGGCATGATGCCAAGGATGGATACTGAAGAGAGCCCAGGCATCCTCATACTGTGGGCAAAGCAGGTGCGATCTGTTCTTCTCATTTTATTTGGAGAAAATTATTTGGTTGGCTGTGTCTGGCCTTCTTCTGGAAGGAAAATATTAGCTTCCTGTGGCAAGAAGCAACCTGTGCTGGCTTAGACTAACTGGGGATAAGAGAGGAAGAGGGAACAAACTGCATAAATACACCCCTGGGGAGAAGAGATGTATCTGTACCCAGTGAGGAATTTTGTCACCTAGGCACCTGATGTCTAGGGAAGGGAGGTTAATGGGAAAGGCCATTCATTATTAGACCATCAGATCCAGCTGGAAGAAGCAGTTACATGTGTGGACACACAACCCCTTTCCAGATCTTCAACTTCTAGGCAGATTTTGCTGGATTTTTCATTTGAACCATTTCCCTTTTCAGGAGCTGTCTAGGTCTAATTATTTTAGTTTGAGTTAGGAAAGAGCCTGTAGCCCCTGTGTCCTATTTTCTGTGACTGTGACTTCCTGCTTCCCTCCCACTAGAGCAGTGGTTTTTTGCTTTACAGTTGCAAATCTATAATTTTTGAGCCAATGCAGAATATGCCGCTTAAGAAAACAGGCGAATGTAGTTGTTTGCAGAAGACAATCTGTAACAGGGAGCTTTTGTACAGCCCAATAGTAAGATTGTGTTGGTGTAGCTAATTCCACAGAAGAGGGCAGAATCTGCAGCTCTCCCAGCCGATACGAGGTCAGGGAAATTTTTTGTAGAGAAATTGTTCTCCACAGTAAAATATCCTCTGCTAAAATCAGCACCTTGGTATTTAGAATTATCGCTCAATAGGAAAAAACACATTTTCCTGTAAGAGATCTGATGACTCCAGAATAATTGAGGATGATGATAAGCAGAATTCTTTAGAATAAAACATTTTAATAGTAGTATCCATATTCTCCTGCAGATTTAATTGTGTTCATATTTGGTTGTGTTCAGATGGCCTTTGACTGTCCCCAGGGGTGGAGTCACTATCTCTGGAGATATTCAGAAGCCATTCGGACATGGTCCTTGGCAAACAGCTCTAGACAGTCCTGTCTGAACAGGGGAGACCTGATGACTTCCAGAGGGCTCTTTCAACTTCAATCATTCTCTGTTTCTGTGATAGCTGCAATTTCTGCAAAATTTCTGCAAATACACAGAACATTTGCCTAGAAATTTCAAAGAAGAAAGCCCAGGTTAGGAGAATAATTATTTGGATAGGAGAAATTAATTGCACATTAACAGTGCACTAACACAGTCAAATAAAGCACAAGATAAGTAAGTCACTAAATACTTAACAAAAGACAAAAATGCAGTATGGGACTTGAGAAGGCAGTGACAGCAGTAACGCTTAGCACAAGGGCTTGAATACTTCTCTTTGCCATCTCTCACTATGAGAGATGGAGGGGAACAGAACCTCAAACAATTTCAATATTGCTGGTGTGAGGCAGACTGTAGGGAGTTGAAGCCCACAGCTCACAAGTGAAGTCTGTTCTGAGCAAGCCCAGGGGAGATGTTGCAGAAAGCCAACAGAAGCTCAGCTAAGCTCAGTTTACAGAGCCTGAGCAAAACCTGAAATTTCTTGAAGACAATGTCAGGCAAGCAATGTCTTATTAGACAGAAAAATAGGTGGGATACCTTTGAAGCATACAAAAATATTCAGGCTTTGAGGTCTCTTGACTTGATTACAAAAAGCAGTACTGCTACTACTACACCAAGGGTACAGTACTACATTGTATCACCTCTGTTATCCATCAATTTCATTTTCTTATGGATGTGCGTGTAGGAAAATAAGATCTGCCAAGTTTAGGGCTAGTAGTTATTCAAAGGTATAAACGAGCATTTTTATAGCACAGAAAATTATTCTGAAATCACTAGCAATGGCTGTGGTTAGACCTTTCCCTCCTGTCCATCTGTCTACAGCATTTTTGTGTAAGGGAGCATTCTACAAACTTAAGTCTGGCCTAGGGTTAAGAAAGTCCTCCCAACACTGTTGTTGTTTTCAGAACAAGAACTCTGAGAAGAAGTGGCTCTTAAGCCCCTTTAGACAGTACTCTTTCTCCACCCAGTGTCAGATCCT